CTCACCCTGTTAACGCGAAGGCTGGACTCGAACTGCTGAAGCGTCGACCATTTCTGGCCGGCAACTTTCAGCATCATTAAGCCACTGCACCACCGTGTTACCAAACATTTTTGGAGTCTAAAGGCCATAAATGTTGCATACTTGCATGATTGAATGAAAAGCTATGTTTCAGATGGGGTTAGTGAAAATACATTGGTAAATCTTTTCCCCCATCCAAGTTCATGGACCCCCTGAAATCTGCCGACAGACTCTGGTTAAGAACCCCTGCCTTAGAGCAACAGTGGGCTGAGTGACAAAGAGGGAACACAATGTAAGTCCTTAACTCCTCTGCCTCCTTGTGGTCAGTGGCACTAAATCACACTTCCAACAAGAGCAATGTCTTACCTGCTCGAAAAAGGACCTCAGAAAGCGAGGGCGACTTTTAAAGGGCCTCCACTCTGAACTCCGTGTTAAACAGGTTCATAGGGAACAGAGAAACTATCGGGCCCTGGAAAACAATTGGCAGCTGGCCCAGCCTTTTAGCACAGGCTTAATATGTTCCAGATGCTGGGCACCAGTTAGCAGTTTGGCTGCTGGTTTTTGTCAGCACACTTTCTGGACATCCCTCATAAAGCACGTTGAAGTAGCCAAATTGGGCGGAACTAAAAAACACTCCAAACCATAATTGCTTTATGAACTTTCATTAAGACTGCTGTGGTAACAAAGAATTAAAAGAAAAAAATTCCTTGCAGGTTTTGTGTGCGAACCATACAATAACCCTGCTGATTTTTTCCTGGATATCATCAATGGGGATTCATCGGCAGTTGCAATGAGTAAAATGACAATTCACAACACAGGTATAAATGACCAACCTTTTCAGATATCTTGCTGAAGAAATTGAGCTTGTGTGCATTGGCCCTGAACCACCCACGTGTGGGTGGCTGTTTGAGAAAAAGACATTAGATCATTGTCTCTCAAGTGGGGGTGGGAGATTCCACTCCAAGGCACCTTCTCTCTTTTCCATGCTTGAGCTCCAGTATAAGAAGAGAACTGGGTGGGCAGAACAGCCAAAATAACCCAAGCAAGGTGATGAAAGGGTTTTGTTTTTTTTAATAAAATGTATTTTTAAAAAATTCATTTGTAAGGATACACACATGTACACATTTGTTCATTCATTTCTGCTTATCACCTAATTCTTGTTTAAATTATTTCCCATTCCCTTCCATCATTTATTTCAGTGTTTTTCAAATCTGGCCACTTTAAGATGTATGGACTTAATGCTGGCTGGGGAATTCTGGGAGTTGAAGTCCATACATCTTAAAGTGGCCAAGTTTGAAAAATGCTGATTTCTTTCAATGAAAAACTTCTTGAAGAGAGTTTGAACATGTATGTATGTGTGTATGTACGTATGTATGTATACACACACACTTATTTGTAATTCCAGTCTGAGTAGAGACTGACTTGGACACTGAAGAAAAGGTGTCTGAGAAGGCCTCAAAAGAATACACAGGGCATGTCTTGAACCAATATCAGCCATCCTTTTGCTGCCTCCCCTCGTAGCCTCTTTTAAGATTTTTTCCCCCAAAGGGGCTATTTGAAGCATAATGAAAAACTGCAAAATTACATTGATCTGTAATCATGATGGAGTTCAACAGCCGCTCACCAGTTGAAAAGCTCCTGTTTGCAAAGTGCAGTTTTGACCTAGAACCCAAGCTATGAATCAACTGTACTGCGTGTCTGTTATTTTATTTGAATGCATTAATCTGGCTTTTCGTTGTCACTCAAAACAGTTGTTGAGGCAACTGAGAGAGAACAGGAGACCATTGCTGTGACATTAGCAGTACAATTTTCCAAATGCAGTTACTACAAAAAAATGATAGAAGAGCTGGCTGTACTGTCTGTGGAGCAGAAAAAACTGGGAACAGCGTATAAAGGAATTCCATATTCCACTCCTTTTCTTCATCAACTCAAGTGGCTGTCTAGACGCACATTTAAAAATTTGATAGGCAATCCACAAAATTCCACAGCCCAGGTAATCAAAATGAACCATTCTTTTTTTTAAGCAACTATTAAACGTGATAAAGTCAGTGTCGCCAACTTCCATTGGCAGAGAAATTGAATTTAACAGCAAAGGCTTAAAAGAATGCTAACTGTGTCTGATATATTATGAAATGAATTGCATATATCATTTATGTTCTTTTTGAAATAGCTAATTTATGGCAGATCTAGAATTGCTGCATTTAAGCCTGTTTGAGGGATATATGAATGCTGTGGAGTCCTTGGTGCTCTCTGAGCTTGTTCGTTGGCTCGCAGTCATTTCATTACCCAATTAAGTAACATCATCAGTGCCGTGCATATATAAATGTCAAAGAAGTCTGGGAATGCAGTTGCAAAATAAAATCAAACCATGGCTTCCTTCTCTGGTCACTTCCTGGCTAATGAAACCACCATCCAGCATTAATATATCATATTAAGCTCAGCTAAATGAGCCTGCTTCCTAGAAGAGCCAGCAGCTGTGTTTAATGATATGTCGGATAATCCGTGTGATAAATCCTCTGATCAGTCTTTGACAGTCCACAGCTGTTTCCCAAATGTACTGGAGGGAACTTTAATGGTTGTAACAGGTGTCCACAGGCAGGGATCCAAAAAGTCAGATGGTGGCTGTGACTGTGTTCAAAACAACACCCCCACCCCCACCAAAAAGGAGCAAGGCTTTGCTAGTATGCTTGTGGCTGCCATCTTGATTTTTTGTCAGCCCCCCACCCCACCCCAATGGATGCTCTTGGGTTGTAACTAGTTTGAAACTGAAGTATCTTTTGTGACTTAGATGCAACCTTAAAAGTTTGAGGACAAGACTACCTGTAGATAAATCCAGGCTAAGAGATCATTTAACTGATTCTTTGTTGTTCGGTGGTTGGTTAGGATTCTTTCATCATCATCATCATCATCATCATCATCATCATCCATTTACTAGTAATACATGTAATCTGTTCTCTAGGAGTTAGGATAGCCTATATAGAGCTGTACAATGCTTCAGATTGGATTCCAGAAAGGTGGTTTGGAATTTGTGGAGCATATAGCATATGCCTACAAGTCTTTAAAGCAGCTGGGTCTTCTCTAGGACCATGCAAAGATAATGGCTCATTTAAAGAGTTGGAGAGCAGCGCTACCTCCAGCTTCAAAGTACCATTTTGGAATTGAATATATAGCACCGTGCAGCACTAATGCATAATGCTCCTTCCAGTTTCTCACACCATAGCCCTGTGAAAAAGTGTTGACTCAGATGTAGTGACTGTTCCATATATGCCCATTAATCTTCTAGAGCTGACTCTGATCTTCAGCTTGGATCTCTTTAGTCCTGGTCTAACACCCTAACACTGAATAGGCCAATGTGGGTCTTTAAACATATGTTTAAATTAAAAATGGGATGTGGGTCTGGAAAGATTGAAAATTTTTGGGATTCGAAGGCTGTCTTTCAGGTCTTCTGTCTGAAAGGCTTTGGATGTTTTCCTATAACTCTTTTATGATCTTGGTTCCAGCTAAGGTTCTTGCAAAATTGTCCAGTAGTTAAAAAACAAAACAAAACATAGTGATTGTTAAATTTCCATGCAGAGGGGCCATGAAGTTAAAAGTTCTGTTATGTGCATGCTGGTATTATGTGGATCTTATTAATTACTTTGTAAAAGTTTGACCTTGTGACAGGAATTATGATTTTAGGAGCTTATAATTTTTCTACAACTAAGAGCCCTGACTTTTTTCTCACAATCATTTCTATCTCCCTAACCTCATTATAGATGGATTTTGAAGGCATTCTTCAAAAAGCCCTTACATTTCATGGAATTAATTCCTTTTGTTAATCCTCTTAAATGGGGCTAGCTATGATCCTTGTTTCCCATTCCAACTATTTAGCTGCAGAATGAGTCCTGGCATTTGGATCTTTCAGCAGATCTCTTGAGCCCAGTACCACATTTAAGAACTCCTTGTCATGTTGATCGAGGCAATCCTTCCTGTTTAACACTTCAGAGAAGCCTGTTACCATCACCTTAACTGAGATTTTAATTATGCGTGCTTATTCTTCAGAAAACCTAATACATTAGATGTCCGTCAGTTTGATTATGATAATTGGTGCCACAATCCTGTGAATATTTATGTACCAGTAATCCCCTTTAAGCAAATGGTAATTTTGAGTAGACATTAGAATTACTGGGTTAGCACAAACATGAATAGTTTTATCCTTTATTTTTAATGCCATCTACCCCAAACTGCTGCTGTACAGTGATGTTGGAAGCCCAAAATAGAGTTCCCAGCCAAGAATTCTCAGCTAATGGCCATACTGATTAGACATTATGGAAGCTAAAGGCTCCAGATCAAATGATTTGTTGCCAGGCCAAAATAAATAAATAAATAAATCCCACTTAGTATGTTTTCAAAACTTGGATAATTAGTGGCTGGATTTACACATAAGCCAAAATATGGTTTGGTTGTGGATTATGAAATAGTGTGTTATATGAATCCAACCAATTGTATTTTACTCAGTAGCCTATGGCTAAAAGAAACCATTACTTAGCACAATGTAGGATACCAACCTCTCCAGCCAAGATTACCAGTTCTGGACTACAAACCGTGGGAGTTTTCTATAAATCTTTGATTCCATTTAGTGGTTGATCAGATTTTTACAGCTTAGACCTGGTTGCCCTATTGCTATCAACCTCCCAGTTTTAAAAGCAGGGGGTTTCCTATCTCTATTCTTCCTGTCCTTTCCTGGCCATTGGAATGGAATATTTGTCCCAGCATTTGACTTTATAGTTACCAAAAACAGGTATTTTTCCCATAAGATTGTTAATTTGTCAAAAGATTTCTTTCCTGCTTCATTCTCACATTGATAACTTGAAATACCCTTTCTTCCTAGATAGCTATTACCACTGTTATGGGAATAATTACTGGAGCTGTTTTTGCTGGAGTTAAAAACGATGGAACCGGCATTCAAAATAGGTTAGTTAATGTAAGAAACACACTTCTAAACCAAATGCAACTTTCTCCATTAATGTTTTAACATTTTGGATTAGCAGGGGGTAGAACAATTGAGTTAAAAATAATGTTAGTATCACAATCTCCAATATTCTTTTATTTGTACATTCCTTTACCTGTAGAACAGGGAAGGATAATTTCCCAGGAGATTGGATAAATGACTTAGCATCATGCTAATTATTTGAGGGTGTTGTGTGTGGTTTTTTTCCCCAGAAAAAAAATGGGCAATTACCATCAGGAGGTCCCTGGGGAGGTCAACAGCATCAAAATGGCGGGCATGACTGGGCAACAGAAACCCTGCTCTTTTTGACATGCCACATATATTGCATGCGCATAAAAAGGGGCAGAGCTTCAATCACCCAAGTTGTGCCCTCTATTTTGATGCCCTTGATGCTTCTGGCTTCCAGTACAGTTAAAAGTTCATCTGTTTCTGGTTAGCAAAAGCCACTCAGTTCAGAGTGTCTCTGTCTCCCACTATCTGAAGTTCAGCAGGAGAGGGCGACTTCCTGGTTGCTGTATTGTATCATGTTGTGACTGTCCACTATATCTGGTTTCCAGATGACCCCGGACAGAAGCAAAGTCTTAAGCTGTTTATATTTCTTTGCTACCATCTAGTGGTCATCTGGAATATTACAATTTATATAGTACATATATATCCCATGTAAAATTCTGTGAATGAAGCATGGTGATAAAGGCCTCATTTGGAAACACCCTTGATTTCCTTATATTGTGATTCCATCATGCTTTGTTTCATTAGCTCTTCATATTTGTGTGCCATGTTTTTCCCCCCTCTAATTTGAACATTCTTGGGTTTTCTTGTAGAATTGGCGCTTTGTTCTTCTTGACAACTAATCAGGTTTTGAATAGTATTACAACCGTTGAACTTTTTATCACAGAAAAAAGGATATTTATGTGGGTAAATCTGCATGTAATGGAAAATCAAGTTTCTTCTTATCGTTGATAATTGTATTTATTTACTCTTGAGTTAATCATTTGTTAGTTTCATTCATAGTGCCCTGCATATTTTTTTTGGCCTGTTGTTTGCACCAAACCGTAGTCAGTCCTTCTCTTTTTTTTCACCTAGTGGGAAAGCTATTTCTACTTTCTCAAGACAACAAGCTCTCATCTCATTTGGGCACCAGTATTAAATCAGGTTTCAGGGACAAAGCTTAAAATCATCAGTTCTAAGTCTTAAAGAAGGTGTGAAGAGTAAGCTTAACAAACCTTAGTGAATTCTTGCTTAATGCTGAATGTTCGTGAACTCATTGGCAATGATTTGCCAGTAAAATCTTAACTCATGAGGACTGAAAGATTGTATTTCAAAGGTCCTTTTGACATTGTTACCTTCAGCCCAAGACAATAATAGGGAACCTTACCTCAAGTATGCTAAAGGTGGTCCATCTGTGTCACAGGTGTGGTAGTATGAGTCCTCAGAGTCTAAATAAAAAAAAAAAAGAAAGAAAAAAGAAAAGAAATAACTCTCCACCCAATGATGTTTTTTTCCACCTCTTTTTTGTAGAGTTGACAATAGCATCTATCACCTATTTGGTGGGGCGGGATGAAACAGTGTATGAATGTCTCCATTCTGTCCTTTCAAAGAGGGGGTTAGGTATTTGCCTTTAATACGGTTATGGTTATAAATAAAGCTTCCATTGCTGGATATATTCTTTTAAGTTTCATATTCCTTTTCTTCTCTATTTTTTTAAAAATAGAGAATGATTGATTGATACCACCCACTCATTATTCTCTTTTTCCAGTGTTTCCACTTACTGCAATTTCAGGTCATTTACCATAAAAGAGTATAAGGCAGTGTTTCTCAGCCTTGGCAACTTTAAGATGTGTGGACTTCAACTCCCAGAAGTCCACACATCTTAAAGTTGCCAAGGTTGAGAAACCCTGGTATAAGGGCTAAACTAGGGATACATGCATATGTATTGTGTATGCGTGTGTGTCCATACTTAAAGTACCTAGCAGCCAAAAGGGAAGTCTCAGCAATCATCAAGCAAAAAGATGTAAGGATTAACCACCAAACCACTTATCAGGGAAGTTGTTGCTATGAATTTCTTGGATTGGTCGGGGGTAGGATTGTATTTATTTACTTATTTGCCTACTTACTACAATTTATATGCTGCTGTAATCCAAACAAGACTCTAAGTGGCCTACAAAATAATACAAACATTAGAATAAAAATAACGATAAAGAGAAATAGCAAAACAAACAGCAGTGTCCTGAGGAACAACTGAAACTCCCAAACCCATAGCAGGACACCCCTCATTATAAATTTACTTCCAAGGCTCTCCAGAACAGTCAGGTTTTAATGGCTTTCCAAAAAAAAAAACCCATAGAATGAGAACCACTCTGTAATAATGGGAAGAATCCTGTTTCAGAGAAGAGGGGCCACCACTGAAAAGGCTTCTCCCCATGGATCCTGTTGGTGATACTCTGTAACAGACCTTGGAGAGAGCCCACCCTTCTCAATCGTAATGGGTGGGCAGAAGCCACCGGGAGAAGACAGTCCCATAGATATTCAGTCCCTGAGCCACATGGGGCTTTAAAGTTGGCAAACGGCATCTTGCATTGCACCATTGAATGACCTTGAAGTGTCTTCTGCTAGTGATTAATGACCCCTCTCCCTGAAATTCCAAAAGCCATTTTGAGGAAGATATACTTTTCATGTGGTAGGGAGAATTAGTCCTACAGTCCTACAGGTCCGTGCAGATTTTCCCATGGATACTAGAAAGAAAGAGAGAGAGAGAGAGAGAGAGATGTTAATAGCAAGTATGAAATGTAGCTAAAAAGAAAAGATTTCATATTCAATTGAATATTTAAGATAATTGAAGAAAATCCAATAAATGCACATATGAGCCTAGGCCCCAGTCTGAAACCTGCTATTTGTAAATGCATTTATTTCATTATTCAGGTCTTCAGTATGTGTGTGTGTATATGTGTGTGTGTGTGTGTGTGTACACACACACACATATATATATATACACACACACACACATGTGTATTTTTTTTCTTGCAGACATGAATATATAAGTGGCTATTATAGGGTGTCTGCGTATTTCTTCTCAAAAGTAATAGCTGATATGATGCCCATGAGGACTTTGCCAGGCATCATTCTCACCAGCTTGAATTATTTCACAATAGGCAAGTAAATTGAGTACTGCACCCTTTTTGTGTTATACAGATATAAGACTTATTGTTTGCCTTTGCTTTTGTTACTCAGTTCTCTCTTTAGATGTAAACCAACCTTCCCCCACCTTGTGCCCCATATATGTGTTAGGACTAAAACTCCCAGAATTCCCCAGACAGCATGGTCTTTCTAATCCAGAACTTCTGAAGGCCACCCAGCACAGGAAGCCTGCAATGAAGTATAGTACAGTATGTATGTATATATGTATATAAGTATGCATGTGTATATCTGTCTGTCTATCCATCTAGCCACACAAACACACACACACACACACACACACAAAGTATATATATCTGAACAAGGAGGTAACTAATTTTCCCACCACATTGTATATATGTGGTGCTACTTACAATGTTTACCTACTCGTTGAAGAATTAGATGTTGTGCTAAAGCATAGTATGTAGTGCTTGAGTGTGTGTGTGTGTACTGTGAGATGACAGATTACAGGATCCAACCTTGCCAACTTTTCTGACATGCTCCTTCACTAATGTTTTATAAAGTAATGGAAACATGATCTGATTACAATTGGGAGCTTAACCAAAGGCTGAACCTTGCTTAATTTAAAAAGGCCCCCCTACCTTTTCCCTGGCAGGTATAAGAGGATTATAATTCATGTGTAGATAGGCTTCATTCACTTTGCTTTCCGAATATGCATGTGGAAGAATGAAATGAATGGGCAAGCCATTCAAATGGATGATCACTGCTGTATGCAAAGAACTGACCCCACTGGATTATTTATCTTCTCAGGATAAGTATAAGCAGGCTGAGGTTGGCTTAGAAATTTGCACTGAGAGCCAGTTTGGCGTAGTGGTGAAGGTGCTGGCCTAGAAACCAGGAGACGGAGAGTTCTAGTCCCACCTTAGGCATGAAAGCCGGCTGGGTGACTCTGGGCCAGTCCCTCTCTCTCGGCCCAGCTGACCTCCCAGAGTTGTTAGTGTGGAGAAAATAGGAGGCAGGAATATAAGGTAAGTTCATCACCTTGAGTAATATTATAAAAAAGGTGGGATAAAAATATAAGAATAAATGGAAGAAGCATTAAGATACAAGCTGGCATTTTATCATCCTCTCGAACAGTTAACTTAGTTAACAGTTAACTTGGAATGGCGCTCAAGCATGGCCAAGAAATAGAAAAAGTTAAAAAAGACAGTAATCCCTTCCCCCAAAAAACCAACTGTTTGTGATTGCTAAGCAAGTTCAGGAGTTTTGGGAACTACCGAAGCTGTAAAAGAAAAAATGAGAAGGGCATGGCTGTGCAGAAACTCTCCTGCAAGGGCTTAGCAGTACACAAAAGAAACTGGAGAGATGTCCCACTTGTTCATTCCATTTGCAGAATGCTTGAATATGATAAATGAGGTACAGGGATTGCTAAACTATGGAGTTAAGGGGCAGATATAAACTTAGGCTACTATATCTGGATTGCAAAAATCCACCCACTTGGGGGCATCAAGGGGATAGAGAAAACCCCAACTCTTGCTGCCCTCTTAGGATTCTCTGAATTTTTTTGCAGCCCATATATGGAAGCCTTAATAAAATTATTTTCAACTGACTTGTCAACAGACAATACAGGCAACAGAACCCTAGCAAATAAAAGCAAATTCTAATATACAACATGGGAGTAAGCACTGATCAAATTTAGTGGTACTTCCTTCTGAATAGACACACAGAAGGCTGATTGCATTGCTGAAGTATATATTTCTGCTAAGGCTGATGCTAAGTATGTCTGTACATTTGTATATACACACATACATATATATGTATATATTAATTTCTTTTAGGTTTCAAGCCAGCTGTGGAGTCCTTCTTTATCATGATGATTACTATTATATTCATTTCATATGCAGCTAGTTCTCTCGCTCTGGCAGTTGCAACAGGACAAAACGTTACATCAGTTGCAAATCTCCTCATAAATATTTGCTTTGTTTTTATGATTGTGAGTGTTTCCTCTGAATATTTACTTGTTGCATGTACCTTGCCTATCTTTCAAAAGCTAGGTTTCAACATTTCATTCATTTACCTAAATGCTGGCAAACTTCAGTGTGTCAAGAAACAGAATTCGAACAATGCATTCCAATGCATGTTTGATTGGTCATGGTGGTGGGTATCAGTGCTGGGTCAAGTCAGTGGTATAGTCAGGACAGGAATTTAGAAAAGGAGCCCTGAGAACCTTTCAGGAGGAGATATGCAGCAATGTCCATAATAAGCACAGGCAATACAATAAGTCATGTGTCATGACCTCACTGCCAAAGGACATCTGGTGCAAATTTGTGCAGTGATGTCATCATAGGCCCCCTTGTTCCCTCTCTGGATACCCCAGAGGGCCTGGCTTTGCACATTTTGAAGTACTTCACAATAATGCATATTTCTCTTTAAAGAGGGAGTCTGAAAAAAAATCACTAAGTTCAGAGCCTAGATTTCTGTTAGCTGCTTCATCACTGGCCCAAGAGTGACCTGCTTTACTTTCTCTAAAAAGGATGACTGACCTTCATATGCTAGAGAAAATGAAGCGTCAACAGCTGAAGTTCTTTTGGTGAGCCATTCCACACATGTTCATTAGATCTAGTAAAAGAGATGTATCATCTCTAAAATATATTACTTAGGGACTACATGATGTATTATCATGTATACCAGTGTGACTAGATTGGCACTCATCTGACGCACCAGCCATGCTAAAGGGAAATTAGGGGAATGGCAGTCCCAATGCATTTTGAAGGCACCTGTTTGGGAAAGGTGATGTAGAGCAGAGTAGTAAACCTCCAGGGTATACCCTTTGGCTTTACACATCTAAACATCCAATCCCCCTGCCCACCCCAATACAAAAAACTCCCAAATCCTAGCTCCATCACTCATAGAATGTGTAATACCTGTGTGGCCTTTGGCTGCCAATATTAAATAAAAATTGCAGCCTCCAATGTACAGGATGGTCCAGCTTTTATCCTGCATTGTTCCACACATGGAATCACTATCTAGGGCCACCATTATCTGAGCTGCAAAATCTGGACAACCAGTAGACAGAAGCAGAGGAATACAGAAAAATCTAGCTCTTGCCTGACATTTAGTGCCCATCAGATTTTTGCAGCCTTTCCTCTGATATGTGTAGCCCATGACATTACCTTCAACATATCTCCTGTCCATGAGTAAGCAGGCAAAAGTCATCTTTAGCTGTTAGTTCTTCTCTTTTAATCTGACACCATCCAAGGGTATCTTCAGGGTATACAGAATCTCTTAGGCCAGTGTTTCTCAACCTTGGCAGCTTTAAGATATGCAGACTTCAACTCCCAGAAATCTCCAGCCAGCATGCTGGCTAGGGAATTCTGGGAGTTGAAGTCCACACATCTTAAAGTTGCCAAGGTTGAGAAGCCAGCATGCTGGCTAGGGAATTCTGGGAGTTGAAGTCCACACATCTTAAAGTTGCCAAGGTTGAGAAGCCAGCATGCTGGCTAGGGAATTCTGGGAGTTGAAGTCCACACATCTTAAAGTTGCCAAGGTTGAGAAATACTGTCTTAGGCTCTGTCACCTAGTAATTGGGAGCGAAGTCAAGTGATCAGGAGTGATCAGGACCAGAATAAAGGCCGTAAAGGCAGGATCGGGGTTGGCAGATTTCATGCTGGATTGCTTTTTCACAGCTCAGGGATGGGTGGCCAGCATTGTGACTTGGTAGTGCAGAAAGGCCAGTGACCTTCAACTCGCCGGCAAGAGGGAGCTTGTGCACTTTCAAAGAAATATTTTTTGAACATGGCCTAAAAATATGAATCAGAAATAAATGAACTCCAGGGACTTTGCTTCTCAGTAAATGTGAAAGTCACAAATCTACCTGTGTACTGTATACTGTATATATAATGGGAATTATTGATGAAGAATGGATCCTGGACATAAATCTGAACTTCTTTAGGGAGCTTTGGACAAAATTTTGTGCTGTAACAGCCCTCTTCCCCTCTCCCCCTTTTTTTCTTGCAGGTTTTTTCTGGTGTGCTGGTAAATCTCCCAACCATTTCACCTTGGTTAATGTGGCTGAAGTACTTCAGTATCCCTCGCTATGGCCTGAATGTAAATCATATTATTGTTGTTGTTCTTGCTGTTATTTGTTAACTATTTGTGAAAGAACCCATCATCCAGTATTCTCAAACTTGTAGAATTGACTGGAAATGGTCTTCTCTTCCTCGGCACAGCAGCACATTGCCTTTCAGGGCTAACATGGACATGTGCCTGTTTAGGAATAGATTGCCTTACTCTGAACTAGGCAGTGGTCTTACCTGCTCCCAGGGTGTCAGTACGATTCAGCAGCTTCCCAGAGTTTCGTGGAAGTTCTGCCGTCCCCAGAGCTGTTGGGGTTTGAATTCTAGACTTTCTACCTCAAGGTTGTCGTTGTCCATACAAACATTCCCTTCTTTCTATATACTACCAAACTTATCTGTTTGGCTTAAAGCAGGAGTGGGAAGGAACTGTTCCTTTTTAAAAAGAGAACTGGTTGTGTGTGTGTGTGTGTGTGTGTGTGTGTTTTCCTACAGTCTTGCCTTGTCAGCCATCTTTTGTTGGTCAGCCATCTTTCAGCTTTGCATATCTCTTGGAAGGAAATAGCAGAACACTGCCAACCTGAGAAAGAGTTTAAAATCTGTTTATTTACCCCACCGATATGATTGCATTTATAACTGAAAACTACCCTAAAGAGAACCTGCCTGGTTCCACAGCTATTCATGGGGTGGAGTGAAGAGGAACTTTGCATTTGCTAACATTTGCTTTGGGATCCTGCTCTTTAACAATCCCCATTAGTCACTGATAACGATGCCCTCGAACATTCCTGGCCTTTCCACCCCCAATTTCCCTCCTGCCCTCTACCAGGTACAACATCTTAGTCTTTTTCTCTCAGCCTTTTTCTCACTGTTTCCCCCTCCCCTCCCCTTCCTACCTTGCTAGGCAAATACTACTGTTTTGCCTTTTCTTTCTTTAATTTTTAAAAGTTTTTCAATACATTGACCTGGGAAGATGCAAGATCCATGGGAAGCTGAATCAAGGCTGCTGGATTCGGGACCTTTATCTCATAGTCCAATTGCATTGTTGATTTCAAATATTTAAGTTGCCCCTCTCCCTGCCAGCAGTGCTTTCCAGATCTTTTGGACTTCAATTTCAACTTCCATCATTTTTCACTGGCAAAACCAAAAGATGGCATCAGTTTTTGGAAGCATTGTTTTAAACAATGAGGAATGGAATGGGGTAGGTAGGATGGAGATGTAAGATTGTTTCTCTGGATGTTTCAGGTTTTGTAACCAAGAAGGTGGTATGTGTTTGAGCCTGTAGCCTGTACTATGTAATATTGGTTTGGTCCATATTTCCTTCTATTTCCAATAAAAACTCTGTCATCATCAAGTTTTTCAGAATTCTGAATTCAGGGAATGTCAATGCTAGCAACAATTCAAGCAATGCCATTGAAAGCATTTCTGTTGTAATTCTTGCTTGTCCTCCCCCCTGGGGCCATACATTCTATCCTTTTGCACAAGAGAGCCCTTTGGGAGAAAACATTGTTAATCTGTCTGCCAAGGAATTCTAGCACATCTGCTATAGAACCTTTCAGGGGATTCTGGGAAATGTTCTACATTGCCCACTTCGTCCAGGGCTGGCCTTTGGTCTATCACTATTGTTTCCTGTGAGCCAGCTGCATATTCAAACAACCTAATCTGTGTAATTAAATAAAGGATTTATAGTGTTGAATGAGCTACTTTCATGGAAGCTCTTTAGCAAATGTTCTTCTTCTGAGGAGTTCCAGACCCAGGTCCAAGAAAGCACAATCTTTTGAAGTTCCAACCTGAAACATCTAATAGTTCCTAATCTGATATGGACATCTAGTGGTTTATTTTGAGAACTTCGTGTGATACCCCTTAGAGGAAACAATTATATCCTACATAGTTCCTTTTTTTTTTTTTTAATTCAAAACCGATTCTCAGAGACTGCCTGGACAAGTCCCTGCAGTTTTCTTGGCAAGGTTTTTCAGAAGTGGTTTGCCACTGCCT